AGGATTTGCCGTGCAGTGTGCACATAGCCACAAACAGAATGCGGGGAGGGGTCTGATAGCACACTTCAGTCAGATGATTCCCTTAAAGGTTGCACCAGTCGCAGCATGTCAATTGCATTTATATGTTACGGCAATTCCGTGCATGTGGGCAACCTCAAAATCGAACAGGTCAGTCGTCCAACAGCCGTGGCGACTTCTGAGAACATCTGCACTCCTCGAATATTTCTTTCTTTGGGTCTTGCGGCATCGGCCTCAAGCTGAGAGGATTTTGGTGGCTTCCGGCCACAAAAAGCTGCTCAGGCTTACTCGGAGCTTTCTCGTGGCTACGGCCATCCATCCAGGAGCTCAGCTTCCAGTTTGTGATTTTGGACCCCGCCTGCCCACTGCTAGTGAATGATGGAGTAGATCAACCACAACTGAACTGGTCCTCTAGACTCTACACCGTGGTGACGTGGATAAAACGCCAGTCCTGGCGTCGCCAACCATCAGGGTTCCATTTTTTGACTTTCCTATTGTAGACTCAAACCCAGAAAATTCCCTATTCCCACCTTAGCTCGCTGTGCACCCGGCGTCCCGGATTCCGACTTTGGGCGCGCAGTGGGCAGCGCCTGGGCAACATGCGCCGATGCCCATGCCAAAGAACCGCCTTTTCTCGCTTGCTTTCTGCTCCCTTGCAAAGGCTCCACTGGAACTGTGATCTTTGCCATTTGATGTGATCTTTCAACTTTCCATGAACAGGCACTTTCCCAAAGAACATCAAAGAACAGTCCAGTTAAACCGGAAATGATTGCATGGCATTACCCCTCCATGGCGCCCAATGGGATCTGGGTCCTCAAGAGTCCTGAAGCGTCAACATGGGCTCCCAGGAGGGGGCAGCGCCCTGATGACACAAGGTTGTTCGTCGCAGCACGTCCTGGTCTGCCTTGCTTGGTGGTAATGGGGGAAGCTAGATAGGGATCCCTATGCGGAATACTCCTCGTTTGTACTTGTTGATATACACCTTTATGATGAGTGACACGCAGCGCTTACTTGGGCAATATATTGGCAAACAAATACACTTTTGGCAGGCATCCTGCCTGTCGCTCCTCACTGAAGACACTCCTGGCAGGCGTGGAATAGGGCGCCCCCTTCGACATCATGCGCATCCTTCTGGTTCTTACGTTCACTTTCATTTCTCAACGATATTTTTCCATTCTGCATCATGGCTTGCAAACGCGTGCTCTTGGCAGGCAAGAATCCCCAACTTCCAAATCAGAAACCAAAAAAACACGCCTCGATCATGCCGACATTGACTTCTGTGCCTCTCGATCGCCTTCTCCATGGTCCTCTTCAATGATGCTTCCTCCTGAAAGCAAGGCTGGTATGAAACATGGGAGGGCCTGGGAAACCCTAGACAATCGCCTCTAGGGCACATGTTAAAACTTTGCGGTCTTGATCTAGAAGAAACAACACATGGTCATGAATCCCTTACTTGAAGTGTTTCTCTTGGTTGTCTACCCTCCCTATATGACAACCATGTACTTTTCCTATCACGCAGAACCTTTTGCTTGGACTATGGCTCGCTGGGATCAACCATCTCCAAAATCTTCCTCCCCGTGCCTTCGGGAGCCTCCGCAACCACTCACACCCAAAACCGACTCTGCATCAAGCAACAGAAGATCTAGTCCAACACAATTCCTGCAATTCTGCAAATTTCACCTGAACAAAAACCAACCAGCCAAGCAAGCACTTTTCCTGGCAACTGCCCAAACACCCACCCACTCCCCCAAAATAAAAACCGGGTGCGATTCCAGCCAAAGCAGACTTAACTGCAGGGCTGGTTGATGTTGCCGGTCCCGTTCGCGCAGGGCTTGCAGCTTCTCCCGCTTTGCCTGGACGAGACACGTTTCCGGATGGCGGGGAACGAACTCTGCATTTCAGTTATCCAATGGACCGCATTTCCGGAGCTGCCTTGTTGTTCCTTTACATGGGCTGCGCGGCTGCGCGTGTTATTTTTCACACTCACTTCGAAAACACACCAACATGAGCTCGGCATCTCTCCCAAAGAGCTCTCCTAAACAAATCTGGTCGCTTGTGCTGCCAACCCGTGATCAGTGGGACCATTCTATTCAAAGGCATTCCTCCGAAATAATGACAATTCCTCACGTATGCGCATGGTCCTCCAGAATCCGCAGTTAAGAGTGCAAAGGCCAGGAATGGGCCGCTCGGAAGTCACAACCGGCCTGCGTGTCCTTGGCGATACGACCTCTGTCCGGTCGCCCTACAGAGCATTCATCGATCTTGTGCAGGCATTCCTCTGCCTGCACGCCGCACACGCCCCTTGAGCGACCCATTCCGCGTGAAATGCGTATCACGCATCGTTGCATTGAAATGCCACGGAACCATCTTGCCTGACACGTGCTCCTTTCCTACTTCTCTGGTGGGGAAGCACTTAGGACCACCGAAAACCGGACAATCTACCACCCCCGCCCCCCCCCCCCCCAGGCCCGCGTGGACCCATGCATGGGACGCCTCGTCCAGCTTTCCCAGACCTTCGAGTGCACAAGCACTGCGGAACCAGGCCTCAGTCAGTCAATGGGACTCCAAGACACGTGGCTGGAACTTGCTAAGGTGAGGCACTGGTCCCTAACCATCCCTTTGGTCAAGAAGATGCCAGAGTTCATTCCCACAACCAAGGGAAGATCCAAAGCCTCTGGCCACTTCTTGGCTCCATTGATTTAACGTACTGCGCGCGATTCTGGAGGATGAATTCAGGGTCAGCACATGCGATCCCAATACCCGCCCAAACACAGAGCACCGGTGAATTCCGCTCCTTTTTTTGGCCCTTTGCCAACCATGCGAAGCGCAGGAACAAAGGTGTCGCCCCAGAACCGGCCTTGTGGTCTTCGGGGCAAAGTTGCGTGGCAGTCTCGGCGGCCTGGCTGAATCTACACCGGAGCTGACCGCCCGCCACCCCGTTCATGAGTGCTCACAAGGGGACCCCTCACAACTGGGAAACCTGACATGTTTTTGCAAGGAATCCTAAGTTATGGAAATGAGCCGGCTCTGCTGCTGCATGCGGTTGTTGGATCTGCAGAACCAGCAAGATACACCTTGAGCTGATTTGCTAAAACAAGTCTGGCAGCTCTATCTGTCCAAAGCTGGGGAACAAAAACAACATCTCTCCCCAGGATAAAGGTCCTGCACCCGCATCTCTGTCCAGAACCGGACAAATACTTTGGGTTCCTTCGGCTTCGGGACCAGGACTTCTCTCCAAGATACAAACAAATAGGTATGTACCAAATCCAATGCCATGTTCAGCACCCCCACACATGTTATTCTGTCATTCTATGTGCAGCAGTACTTTGCCTTTGTCAGCGACTGTGGTTTGGAATAGCTGAAATTCGAAAAAGAACTCCTGCAGCATTTCTACCGGATACTCTTTGATAGGAGCTGGATTTTGAGGACGATGCTGCTATCTATGGGATACTATGCAAAGCATTTGGATGCCTTCGCTGCGTGTTTGCTTTCAGTGCCAACCAGGTTCTCGCATTCCCTAGTATTGATATGCCTAGCCAATGTTTGGCACAAATCTATCATGCATTTCCAGCATGTGTCTAGTTTAGGTCCGCTAATGTCCAGCATTCTTCAAACATTGGTTTAGCAAATGTAAGGCATGTGTCTAGCACATGTCAGTATGTTTCTGGGACACGGTAGGTTGAGTTGCATATTCCTAGCATGAGCCCGTGCGCGCCTAGCACATGTCTACCATAATACTTCTAGCACTTTTCCAGCAATAGCACATGCCTAGCCACTGTCTATTCCCAGTCAAATGCTAGCATTTGGCTAGCATATCTTCAATACGACAGTTGTGCAGTATATGCCCAGAGTCTTAACACATATCTAACATATGGCTAGCATCTGTGAAACATAGTAGTCCATCCTCTAGTTCGTTTGCGTTATGCTGCATTGCTATGTGTTTAGCGCATGTGTAGCACATGCCTTGCCTTTGTCTGATCATTTCTAGCCAGCATGCCTCAAGCAGTGTTCTGGCCTTTGTTTATTCTGCCCAGGCTTGTTGCCTGCATTTACCATATTCCTGTTGTATGTTTAAATTGCCAACAAACACTCTCAAAGCTCCAAAGGCCCGGTTCGGTGGGGTGGGGGTCGGGGTGGAAATGAATATATCCACACACGGAATACACACCATTTACGGCAAATTAACAAAACATAAATGCGGTCTCCACATCGTGACAGCACAAGATGTTGCTCGGAATTACCCATGTTGCTTGCTTCAGGGACACCACGCCTGCCAGATGAGCTTCATGTTGCCACTGTTTCCAGTGGCTCAAACGCACTTCAACAGCCCAACAGTACCCCACAACCGTTAGTAAACAATATTGAGGGCGATATGGAAAGAGCTGGCTTCGTACACCAAAGAGTTTTTGCACAGAACCCTAGACCAAGCCCAAAGCAGAATTAGGGCTGTGCCGTCTTGTTGGGGCTTGTTGACCCCTCACTAAATCTTTGTTTACTGGGGGTATGGTTGCGGAGGGTGAATGGACATGTATATCTGACGTGAACTACCAGTCAACCACATCAGCTCACTCGTTACAGCCAACATCGGCGCGCCTGAGATAGTACCCAAGTATCCAAATTGCATTTTGGGAACACATGTACTTGATAGCCGCCGCTCAGATGAGCAACCGGCAGCATTGCTCCCCAAGAACGACAGGGAGCTACCCAACAGGACGCCCATCTGGAATTTCGATACGGCGCCCTGAAGGATAGCCCGGCAATACTGTCCGTTGCTGTAAAATGGGTTTCGCCAGGGGTCGGGATCGTGAAATACATGTCCAACCCACACATTACTCCAATAACTAAGGGATTGGCCAAACATACGCCCAAATTGTTCATTTACCACTAAAACGGTCTTCCCACAAAGTTTAAAGTCCAGGAACTGAAGAGAGATGGGAACAAGCCTAACATGCAACTGCCATTTTTGATTTGAAGAGAAAGCTTCAGGAGCCCTGGCCCCGGACGGGCGCCCGCACCTTTGCAGCGTCGTTCCAATATCCCAGCTTCATGCAAGCCTGCGTGCTTGTGACACAGCCCAGGATTGATGAACCCTTGCTTGATTCACAGGGGTCCCAATAAAAAGAGGGAACCCTTCACATTTTGGGGAAACACACCTCCAATACTCTACCGACTGATTACTCAACAAATGCTTGTGCCCTTCTCGCGGAAAGACCATCTCCCTTGAGCAACTTTCTGCCAGTCCTATGAAGAGAAACGCCCCCTTTTGATTTTGTATTCGGAAGGGTCGCTTTCTCCTTCCAACTTTCAAACCGACAAGGGGGCCAACACAGTGTTTTTCTGCCACACCTCCTCGTTGCCCTGAGCCCCCCCCCCCCGCACCAACAGGTTGAACAACGTGGTCCCCCCTTCAACAGGCTTCAAGCAGGTGCGCCAACAACCCTGGTCAGGCCACTGGTAACATGCCCTTTTCTTCTTTTACCGCTGCTTCAACACGATGAACGTCGCAGCCTGACACAGAAATCAACGGAGAAACCATCTGCCCTCCCTTCGGGGACCGCCTGCGAGAGGTTTTTCAGCACAGCTCCATGGAGCTCGAAGAGCATTCTGCTGCTCTCCTTGTCCGGAGCCTGGCACCGCCACATTTGAGCTCCGAAGGAACCCCGTGAATCAAGCGACCTGAAAGCCAGGACGCCAACTTACCCGGGGGTCAAACATACGACAATCTTTTTCAACCCCACTGGAAGATGGCACCTACTTTGGACAACCACTTGCGAGGCCACTCCAGTGTCTCCGAGGGCAAGCCACTTTCGTCTCACTTGCGAGTGTCGGATTCGTGCAGCTTCTCACTGGCATGTGAAGGGCACAGCTCGAGAACACTCTAGCTCAGTTGCCACAGGGGTCAGACAGTTCAGTCTCACTTTCTACATTACTCAAGAGCAAACACATGTGTAATTGCAAATCAGTTTTTCCCCAACAGTTGAAAGCTTTGGGGTCTCAGCCCAGATAGGCTCCGGGGTGGTCCGGGGCGGCCCTGAGGTAAGGTGCCACGAGGGTTACCAGGGTTCCACCAGGGTTCCACGAGGTTCTGCAAAGACTGCGGGGTGGGCCGAGCACTCAAAAGAGCACTGCATGCTGTTGGGGATATCACCTGAGCTTACTCCTCTGAGGGGTCAATCAGTTGTTGGCTCTTTCTTGCGAGGGCAGAACGGTCGGTGCACTTCAATCCTTCAAATTCTGAATTGCCTACGTGGGGGGAACAAGCAGACCCGTTCATTTGCCCTCGCTCCACTTGCACACATACCGGCGCACAATGTGGCTTGCTTCAGGCGTGCTTGTTGTCAACTTACTTGGTGGCAAACATCTTTGCTTAAGTTTGCTGGCAGGAAGCGCTTCTACTTAGTGTTAGCAACTATGCTGGTTGGCTTCTTGCACTTTCTATCCGGAAGTTGGATGCTGGAAGGGTGGCTGGAGGGCGCAGGGTTAAGAAAGGAGAGTGGAAGCTGGAGGTGAACTCTGGAAGGGGCGGAGGCAGGAAGGCAGGAAGGCAGCAAGGCAGCAAGGCAGCAAGGCAGCAAGGCAGCAAGGCAGGAAGGCAGCAAGGCAGGAAGGCAGGAAGGCAGGAAGGCAGCAAGGCAGCAAGGCAGCAAGGCAGGAAGGCAGCAAGGCAGCAAGGCAGCAAGGCAGCAAGGCAGCAAGGCAGCAAGGCAGCAAGGCAGCAAGGCAGCAAGGCAGCAAGGCAGGAAGGCAGGAAGGCAGGAAGGCAGGAAGGCAGGAAGGCAGAAAGGCAGCAAGGCAGGAAGGCAGGAAGGCAGGAATGCAGGAAGGCAGGAAGGCAGGAAGGCAGGAAGGCAGGAAGGCAGGAAGGCAGGAAGGCAGGAAGGCAGGAAGGCAGGAAGGCAGGAAGGCAGGAAGGCAGGAAGGCAGGAAGGCAGGAAGGCAAGGAAGGGAAGGGCAAAGGAAGGCAGGAAGGCAGGAAGGCAGAAGGCAGGAAGGCAGGAAGGCAGGAAGGCAGGAAGGCAGGAAGGCAAGGGCAAGGCAGCAAGGCAGCAAGGCAAAGGCAGGAAGGCAGGAAGGCAGGAAGGCAGGAAGGCAGGCAGGAAGGCAGGACGGCAGGAAGGCAGGAAGGCAGGAAGGCAGGAAGGCAGGAGCAGAAGGCAGCAGGCAGAAGGCAGGAAGGCAGGAAGGCAGGAAGGCAGGAAGGCAGGAAGGGCAAGGCAGCAAGGCAGGAAGGCAGGAAGGCAGGAAGGCAGGCAAGGCAGGAAGGCAGGAAGGCAGGAAGGCAGGAAGGCAGGAAGGCAGGAAGGCAGCAAGGCAGGAAGGCAAGGCAGGAAGGCAGGAAGGCAGGAAGGCAGGAAGGCAGGAAGGCAGGAAGGCAGGCAAGGCAGGAAGGCAGGAAGGCAGGAAGGCAGGAAGGCAGGAAGGCAGGCAAGGCAGGAAGGCAGCAAGGCAGCAAGGCAAGGCAGGAAGGCAGGAAGGCAGGAAGGCAGGAAGGCAGGAAGGCAGGAAGGCAGGAAGGGCAAGGGCAGGCAGCAAGGCAGCAAGGCAGCAAGGCAGGAAGGCAGGAAGGCAGGAAGGCAGCAGAAGGGCAGGAAGGCAAGGCAGGAAGGCAGGAAGGCAGGAAGGCAGGAAGGCAGGAAGGCAGGCAAGGCAGGAAGGCAGGAAGGCAGGAAGGCAGGAAGGCAGGAAGGCAGGAAGGCAGGAAGGCAGGAAGGCAGGAAGGCAGGAAGGCAGGAAGGCAGCAAGGCAGCAAGGCAGGAAGGCAGGAAGGCAGGAAGGCAGGAAGGCAGCAAGGCAGGAAGGCAGCAAGGCAGCAAGGCAGGAAGGCAGGAAGGCAGGAAGGCAGCAAGGCAGCAAGGCAGCAAGGCAGCAAGGCAGGAAGGCAGGAAGGCAGGAAGGCAGGAAGGCAGGAAGGCAGGAAGGCAGGAAGGCAGGAAGGCAGGAAGGCAGGAAGGCAGGAAGGCAGGAAGGCAGGAAGGCAGCAAGGCAGGACGGCAGGAAGGCAGGAAGGCAGCAAGGCAGCAAGGCAGGAAGGCAGGAAGGCAGGAAGGCAGGAAGGCAGGAAGGCAAGAAGGCAAGAAGGGAAGAAGGCAAGAAGGCAAGAAGGCAAGAAGGCAGAAAGGCAGGACGGTACAAAGAGGAGAAACATGCATCATGGTGGTGGATGGAAACTGAGGGTGGAAGGCGGGAGGCTGAAGACGAAACGGGAGGGTCGAGACCGATGGTTGGAGAATGCCGGCGGGGGCTGAAGGTGAAAAGTGGAAGTCTAAAGCGAAGGACTGTGCAGGGAGGAACGGCCAAGAGGGCCCAAACCACACAAAACAGATGCACTCAGAAAGCAGTACAAACAGGTTTTCCTTTTTTTTGTGAGGGGTTGAGCTCCGAGACCTAGAATTGGGAGGCATGACTTTGGCTCAACCGGCCCTCTTGTGGCCAATCCCATCTTGGGATCCCAACTTTGGGGGAGCAAGGCGCAACCGATATGCAGCCTCTACGAAAATCTGTCTTCGATTTCTGGCCCAGTTCTTCAGTGATGGCAGAACAAGAAACGGCCCGAAACCCTTTTTGGGGCCGATAGGTCCAATGATTTAATAAGGAAGCCACCAAAAGCGACCCTCGAGGGTGCCACTAGGGCTTCAAGAAAAACATGCGGGCCTTTTTGGGCAGGTGACACGGTCCAAGGGCGGTGTCTTGACAAACCACCGGACAACTGGGTTTGGAGAGAACTCGGGCTCTTTCGCCTTGAAGCCGCGCAAGGTGTCGTCTGCCTGCCTGCGGAAAGTGACACATGCTACGGCACTCTTGTTGAGGGCACTTTTCTTGCTGTTAAGGGCAACAACCCCTTTCTGGGTTATTTTAGGGATTTACACAGCCCTTTTGGATGGCTGGTCAGCGGTGGCCGCACATAGGTGACCACGACGCGACTCTTGGCGATGCTGATCTTTCCCCGACTTTTATTGATCACAGGGCACAAACAACTAGTCTACAGACCCCCCCCCCCCCCCACATACACACACATGGTATTTGTCGATTCCCTCGCCTCCAACTCGCATGGGCTTCTGCCCAGTTGCCTTGCTCCCACTCGAACAGGCCATCCTGCGTTGCTGCACAGCCAGCCAAGTGAAGCGTCTCCGACTATCCTCAAAGTGACAGGAAACTAGGTTTCACCCTGTACATTTGGCCTGCTCAGCGGACCTTCCGCCCACCTTGCACCATCTTTTCCAGTTGTCTGCATGTTGCCAGGACCAAATGCCCCAAGTACTCATGACAAAGCTGCTAGAACTTGCATTTGAACACGCTAAGCAATGATCCGAAAATGCGAGTCCAAAAAAGCAATCTGACGCCACGCCGACTGCATGATCTGCACGCCTTCTTGCACTTCTGGCCCCAGTTCATGATCTGTGCCAACGTGTTCACGTCAGCCACCCTTCTGTCCTGGGCATGTGGTAGACTCTCCTCACTCGATAGCCACTTGTATGTTATTATATGGTTTCTGTGGCCGGTGTTGGTCTATCATCGCGCCATCAGCATGGTGTAAGATTGTCACCCTTCCTGATGTGTTCTGTGAACATTCCTGATGTGTTCTGTGAACATAGCAATCATGATTCATTGCGGGAGTTTAAGTGCGTGGCATATGTGCTGACCTTGTCTTGGACCTGTAACTCAGCCCTCAGGTCAACCTATGTCAGCAAGACTGGTGAGTGTCTTAAAATAGAACACCCCCCCCAAGACCAAACTGGTGTTCGATCTGGTCTTTTGACCAAACCCTGGTGGCTTGGGTTCGTGGCTTGAAGGTTAGCAGGTATTCGAGCTTCAAGAAGCCACGGGGTCAAATATCTCCGATTTGGAAGGCAGGAATTCACAAACTCTGGAATAAAGAATCCCAGACCCGTGATCAAAGAACACAAGGGCACATTTTTTTGGTAGTTCATGTTAAAGGGACACCTCAAAAGCGGGGGAAACAAACAGCACGCACCACCCCCTTTGCCCAGTTTGGACCCCCGGAAATACAAGGTGATCACCTTTGAGGCCACTAGAAGTGGGTTCCCCCAAAGGAGGAACCAAAAGAGGGGTCAGATCCGGTTGGGCCGCTGCTGGCAAGCGCCACTGGTCTCTGAGTTTCAGGCCTCCAGCAGTTGCTCTTGCCGGTCGGCTGCCAGGATCCTGGCGAGTCCGGGTGGCTGAATGAACCGGTTCCTTCTTGGATTCCAGAAAGGAGACCAAAGGATGGAGGGCTTTTCTCGGGCTCATTCCAACTCCTGCTGAGTTAGAAAGCAAGCAGATGAACGGCAAACCTTGACAAGTATTTCCATTCTCCCGGCTTCCTATACAATCAGCATCTAGCAGTTTCAGCATGCAGCCTCGGCAGGATGTGAATTTCACGCTTCACGCTTGGAACACCTCTACCCTTATCATGGCGTCTCTCCAGTCTTTGAATGGTGCGGCTTACAACGGCCCACACAAAGCTTCCACGTTGCCTTTCCCAAGACCGCCATGTCTGGCGCCTTGACCGCAAGGTCTCTCGCGCCTGGACCGGGCGTCGAACTCGGCAAGCATCTCCTCAGCCGCCTGCCACACGAAAGTTCCAATCCCAACATTGCGCACCGGAGAAAATTACACACTACACCACAAGCCAAGCCACACGCTGCTCTGAGCCACAAGCACATGGAGCCTAGCAGTCTGGCCAGCCAACAAACTCACACAAACAAAGTGCAAACAAACGCCTGCTTTCTTCTTCCTCTGGAAGAATTACTTTCGCGGCTGCAACTCTTACTTTCCACTTCTACTTTGATGGACAAAGTGCAGCACCGGCTGATAGGCGATTGGTCCCGGCTTCATCCATCCCAGTCGTGCAGCATTTGGCCCACAGTCTTATGGCACAGCTATGTCCTGGTGACTTTGCAACACATCCCCCCCTTCCCACCCCCTGCCCCGCCTTTTCTCCAAACTCATCCACTCTGTCGCGAATGCTCCGGAGGATCACCAAATTCTCCTCCCCCGAAGCGGCTTCGCTTGCATCGCCACAAGGCTTGGAACAAAGGGTAAGGGTGTTGAAAAACAGGTAGCGCTTCAAAACAAAGCAGGGTTTTGCAGGAAAAGGGAGCCCGTCTAGCTCTGAACAAACTTTGCTGGCTGATATCCCGGCCTCTCACAGCAAGTCATTGGCGACACAATAACTCAGCGAACCATAAATCGCTTGAGTGCTTGTCTTGGCTGACCGGGACTGCTTTACATGGCTCAGCACTAGAAAGTGTCTGGTTGTCTGAGCTTTCTCGCTACTCATCCGCAACCTGAAGTCTCCCACACCACGTTGGGACATGTTGCAAACCATGGGGTTTTGCAGTTCAGTCGTGGGCCACTTGATCTTGACGATTATTAGCTTCGCCGTCCTCATCTGCAACGATCTCTTCAAAGCTCTTCTGCTTCTGCTTGGCCTGGTGCAGTACAACGCGGAATCAATCCCTCAATCTTTGACCTGTCGTTCTTTCCAAACACCAGTCATGTTCTTCCAACATAAGTAGGCTCTCGACTGTAATAGCCACTGCGGACGAGCGCCATGACAGTTATCCAATGTTTTGGAGGGCTGCTCTAGATGTCGTTCAGGCACTTTGGTCACTTCAAGACAAGCACCATTCTCTCCCTTCTTGCTTCAGAAACCACCGTTAGTCTCCCTTACCTTTGCACGCGATCGGGCGATCGAGCACGCGCGAGCCGCCTGTTCCAGCAAGGTGCACAAAACATTGGTGGTGATGCTGTACTGCAGAATCGGGGCTACCAACCGCCTCACCTCCGCCGAGCAATCCTCACGAAGGAGCTCAACCTGCCTGCCTATCGAGGGTTCCCCAAAATTTGCACGCGGGTTGTCTTTCTTGAGGTGCGCTTTTGTGGTGGTTTTAACAAGTTTCAAGGGGAAAACCACAGGGAAATCAACTTTAATATACCCACATCACATCTGTTCATTCAGCTTCCCCTACCTCCAGTCCTCCAGCAATTCAGCCAGCAGCGCTCTTTTCTCGTTCATGTCCTTTACCTGGCCCCACGGCATTTACATATAAAGGAGTCCAAATCCCAAGGGGATACACACAACGGAGACCGATATCGGAGTACCCAAAATGAGCGCGACTCCGGTGAACGGCATGACAAAATCCTGCTATGGCAGCAGTGCACATGTGCTGTTCAGGGCTGCAAGCTTAAAAGTTGGATGCGCCCAAGCATTGGATACCCTACCAAAGTCCTGCGATCCCAACTCCTGTTGGCTCGGTCAGTGGACTTGGCTGTTGCTCCCTTTCCATCGGGGCCCGACATATCTTCTATGCACAAGGTGTCGTTTTGGATATGGACGGTTCCCACTGGTACCTGAAACTAGTCTAAGTCTAGGTCCGTTGATTTTAACCAACATGAAATCATACACAGAGCGAGTTTTCTCTTTGGCTTCCCTGAAAGAACAACCGAAAAGAGCACCCTCAAAAAAGACACAAACACACAAGCACACACACAAACACCAAAACAAACACCAACACGGACACGAGTACGAACACACACACACAAGCAGAAACAACAACAGAAACATCAAAGCACAAACACACGCGCGCACACACACACACACACTCACACAGACACACCGTCGCCTGCTCGAACTGCTTCAGCCAAACCTGGCAGGCTTTGGCACTGGGGCATCACGACGCAGGCTCCAGGGAACACGAGCCATGGTAAAAACACAGAGTTTTTTGTGTTTGTAAGCCTGCGCCCCTGTTTTGTGGTGGGAATCCAGTAAGTCCTATGCCCCTGACAAATGGACCACAAACTAGTTAGACATTTTGTCCGAACGGAGCTTGCCAACGTAAGCGGAGTGCCCAGGGTTTAGGCGGCGCATCTGCTGTACAAATCTCAACACAAGCCAGTTGTTCTTCGCTCCACCCAGACACACTCGCTGGCTGAACCGCAAAAGGTATGTGTTTCTCTGAGGCCACCAACTTGTTTGGGGGTGTGTACAAGGGGAAGCCACGCATTTTTGGGTTCCCCTATGTTGTGCGTACCCTCGTTGGGGTTGCTCAAAGGTGGAACGAACATGACCCCCCACGAAATGCGGGCCCCTGGACGCCTCGCGGCGGCTGTTCCAGTGTTGCTCCGTGCGCAGCAACGCCTCACGATCTCTCCAAGTGAATTTGGGATCCTCGGGAGCCAAGTCCCCATGATCCAAACTGGATGGCTTCCCTGCGAACTCCCTCGTAAACCACCAGGCCCTCACAAATCCACTTGTCGCCCCAGTTGGCACACGCCTTTGGCACGACTCTGCAACAAGCTGACCTTTGCATGTGCTCATGGCCGGGCTAAACATCGCTGACACCCTCGGATCAAAGGGGCCCACTCCACACTTCTTGGGCGATCCCTTTCGCCCCAGCACCATATTTCATGTTTCATGTTGCATTGAAATAACATATGGTAGTGGGTCAAGAATACCCAAAATGGGAACCCTGGGAAATGGAAACATGGATTAACCCTGTGGTCCCATGGTTTAATTGTGACCCACAGCCATATGATTCCCCCACAAGCAACCGCTCGCCCTGGGCAGCATCTTGCCCCTTGCCCAACCTGTGCAACGTGCCCATGGGCCTTGTTGAAGGGCTTGCGCGCGGCGTGGTACCAGAACTCGGGGTCGTTCTGGTCCCGGTTCAGGTTCGGGTTGTGCCGGGGGTCCGTACTGGCGGGTGCTGGTCCGACAGGTTCAAAGCGGGAAATCGGTTTAGAATCGAACCAGCGGCATTTCAAGCTTGGAATTGTCAAATGTGGCTCCAGGCAAGGTTTCTTACGAGAAAATGACAAGATGCCTGCAACACTTCTCGCGCCTGTCCAGCTGCAGCTGCTTCTTCTGCCACCTCAGCATCTCTTCCCCTGTTCAGCTCGCGCATTTGGCTTCTGAGCCACTGGCTCCTGATCCCGGAATTTCGGATCCAGCTGGGGGTAGCCCAACTCCTGACCCAAGCTGCAGTCAGCTTTGGCTCTGCAATGGTATGGAAACACCGCCAATTTGAACTGGCGTGGGTGCTTTTCATCAGGTCAACCATGGCTTTCATACAAATGTGTCTTGCAACGTGTATCAACCCTGATGCCGAACGCGCTGCTGCGTGTACGACTGTCACCCGCAAGCTGCGCTCCTTGTACTCCTCGTCAGAGATCCAGGATGGCGCCACGCTTGTTGCCTCCATGGCCATACGAGTATGAATCTTGATCCGGAATTCTGGGAATCTCGTGGGCATCATGTAAATTGAATACTTACATGGGGATTTGATGTCCACCACGCATTTTGGAGCGTGTTTTTCATTGAAACCCACAGCCATGTCCGCCCCAGCATATATATATACATATATATATATACATATATATATATATATACATATATATATATATATGTATGTATATATGTATATATATATACATATACATATTTGACTGCAAAAAGGAGCCCTTTGCCTCGGGTAGAGCAAACACATCCGCCCATTTGATAAGAACGGGAACGTCAAGGTGCGTCATGAAGATGGGCCGCTCAAACTGCACCGAACATGAGCTGGAGTGTGAACACGAGCAACCGTTCATTATTGGACACCCTGGGGCCTTCTTAACACCTATGACCAATCCCCTGACCCACCCAAACTAGATTAAGGCAACCTCAAACCAGCCTGAGCGTAGCTGAGGCAAGCTTAGCCAAGTCCTTGCACCAAACCAAATTCAACATTTTTCCAGCGCCACGTCGACACAATTGTGTGTCTGTGTGTCTGTGTGTCCGCGTGTTCGTGTCTGTGCAGCTACCTGGCAACCCAAGTTTAGAAACCAAATGATTTGAACAAACCACCGGCCATGAAAGGCGGTCAAAAGGCAAACCCACCATAGACCTCGTATGGACTAAAATCCCTAACCCAAATATTGCACCACTTTGGATCGGGCAAACCACTCTCCCGCCTAGCAACATGGGCCTCCGCAAATGGAACCAAGTCTTCCAAAAGGTTTTCCTGGGAGCTTCCATGTCTGGGGGAGGGTACATCCAAATCCCAACTTCTCTTGCCTTCTCTTTGGGCAACCTTGCCACTGCGGCTTGGAGCGCACTTTGCGCCTGGCTGTAAACTGAAGAATCCCCAAAATCCAAAGCCTTCCAAGCAAAATGTCCGGCTTGCATAAACAACTCGAAGGAACTGTGAGGGTGTCAAGTTGAGTTTGCAGCTACTCTGCAAGCCATGCGGAGGCTTGCTTCTGCTTCTCCCTGCCTGGGTCCCTGGCTCAACCATTGAGAGCCGTTAGGGAACTTTTGTGGGTTTGGCCAGTCACTTCGCTCCACGTGCTGTCAATATCGAAGCTTTCGAATGGGAAACCACCAACACATACACCAAGCAAACATTGTCTTGATTGAAACCTGATAAGCAGGAAATGCCCACATTCCACCACCCAAACAAACAAGCAAGCAAGCAACAAATACAAGCAAGCAAGCCAGCCAGCAAGCATGCAATCAAGCAAGAAATGCAAGCAAGCAAGCAAGCAAGCAGGCAAATACAAGCAAATACAAGCAAATACAAGCAAATACAAGCAAATACAAGCAAATACAAGCAAATACAAGCAAATACAAGCAAATACAAGCAAATACAAGCAAATACAAGCAAATACAAGCAAATACAAGCAAATACAAGCAAATACAAGCAAGCAAGCAAGCAAGCAAATACAAGCAAGCAAGCAAGCAAGCAAGCAAGCAAGCAAGCAAGCAAGCAAGCAAGCAAGCAAGCAAGCAAGCAAGCAAGCAAGCAAGCAAAAAACAAATACAAGCAACAAATACAAGCAAGCAGGCAAACAACCAACAAATTTACAAGCAAGCAAGCAAACAACAACTACAAGCAAGCAGGCAAACAACCAACACATTTACAAGCAAGCAAGCAAACAAGACAGCAGGCAGGCAGGAAGGCAGGAAGGCAGGCAAGCAGGCAGGCTTGCACGGAAAGCAAAACAAGCAAACACACAAAGCAACCAACGGCCAAAGAGGCGAATGGAAGAGTCACAAGCTGATCACTACAAGCCTGGTGTAGTGCCTCCTTTTGGCTCGGAAAGGAATCCTCCTTCGGGTTCGTTTATCTCAGGCACCCCGCACCAGCCTGTCTCCAAATCTGGAACTTTCCGGGGCCCCTCTAAAGTACTCTTCATACGGGTTTCCTTACAAGGTTTATTTAAGCTTTGGATGTAAGGGAGTCAGCAATCTTTTATCGTAACATGAATCGCCCACGGAGCTGGGACACCCAGGCACTTTTGCCTGCCTCTGCTTGGGCTGCAGTGATTGCTTGACTCGCCTGTCGCTTGGCTGAGTCGTCCAGAAAGCACCCAAGGGTGGCAATGATCTGGGATATATCCCTTTCGTAGGGCTTTCACAGAAGCTCTCTCTCACTCACACTTTACATTACATTATCGCATTATCTTCTCCTCGCTTCTCAACACTTCCATCATTGTCTGAAGAATTTACAATTGCAGTACCATCTGATTTTTTTTGTCACTACTTGCTCATCTTTCTGGATTGCACCCAAATGCTTGAGGGAGATACCATGGATGTTCAGAGCATACTTTTGAGGGACCGTAAGTCTGAGCACACCTGGGGATCGGTTCAATGAGCTGCCCGCGTGCAATCTGGCTATGTGTCAAAACAGGGAGACAGCAAACATGGCGGTGTTTCTTATGGCCTCCCTGAGATTGGCATTGTACCCTTGACCAACACAAACATATACATGTGTCGTGACCAAGGGTCAGACGTGCTGCTGTGGTGCTTGCAGCAACTTTTCACTTCAGGGACGAGTCAGCACAGCAAGAAGAAACAACAAGAACAAGGAACACCGTTTTGGGGCTGACCATTCTTCCCTTGGAACTTGCCCAAAATAGAAAACACAAGCAATGCCCTGGGGCGCCAAACAGTTGTGGTTTGGCTGTTCTTGCGCGGTGCCCCACGAGCAACGCGGCCTGCTTGGACCGCTCCATGTCCCGGCGTGCCTCCTCTCGGCACCAGAGACACGAGTCGTGCAAAACACAACACGTTTCCGGCTCCAAGGAAACTCGGCGGAATCCAACCATCTGGAGGCGCCTCAGCTTCGTGATTCAAAGTGGAACCATGCCAAACCTAAATCGTCGTATGGCCCTATGCTGATGTTAACGTGGTGACACGGCTCACATCAACAGCTCGTGGGCAAGCTGAAAACAAGTGGAGTACGATACCTGGTACGGACACGCACTTTCCGCATCTCGACAACGCATAAGCGGTGCTGAAAATAGGGTACATAAAGCCCTCTACTAACAAACCGCTTTCGCGGAACCTTTCGGGGTGCTTTCGCTGCCACATGTTTCGCTCTCGTGGGCATGTGTTTTGTAATGATCACTTTTACGGAGCTTTCGCGGGCAACACAGAACGGCAAACATGCACTTTCGCGACGCTTTCACGCAGGCTCTTCTTCAACTACTTTCGCCGCAAGCTTTCGCGGGCTTTCGCCCCCCATTTTAGTTTTCGCGGGGCTTCGTTATGAGAGGCCCTCAATTAACTCCTTTCACAAGGGTTGTTGGCGCTGCCCACATGTTATGAGTCAGAAACAGTCGGACGACATGATCCCAGAGTAAGTTTGAAACGGTATGAACGAGATCAGCTAAGTGATGGCTTCCTTTCGACCTGCCGATCTGTTGGTTTTCAAGCCCCCCCCTCCCACTGCATGTCACATTGTTAGATATCATTACAAGTTTGATCCAATGTAGCATTGCCCCAATCCCGATAATAGGAGCCAAATTTGGAAACCATTGCCAAGACACAAACATGGTTTCCTCAGGCACCCTTACAATTGTCATCTAGAATTGGGTGTGGGTCAAAATTAAGCCACCAGGGGACCGCCTGCTTTAGTCATGGGTTCCATTTACCAGGGTTCCATTTTGGGTACCCATTTTTGATGCACAGCCAATTCCTGGTGACCATCTCGATCAACCAAGTGAACAGGGGTTCTAACCATGGAAAACGTTCAACATCGACTTTTCTACGCCAAAGGGATGTTCCCCAAAGGGAGTGTCCCCACTTGGGTGCCGTAGATCCCCCAGCAAAAAGTCTAACTTTTTGCTGGTTAAAAGGAGACACGCGGGGAATCCAAAAAGTTCAAGTCTAAAGGTCCAACCCAACAGCAGTAGAGCTCCAAAGAGGACATTTCTCCACCGCCTCGCCAGTCGAAGGCGGCGTTTGCCCGCCGAAAGCAAACGCCGCAACGTGACCTTCGCTCCTGCGAGGCCTTGCCGGCGATGGCTGCCAACTTTCTCGCGGTCTCCTGATGCGCGTGGAATGTCGACCCTCTACCAAAAAAGGAGGTATTTACCATTGGCCATGGAAAACCAGGTTTTCCCAAAAATACCTTGAACAAAGCGGGTATTTAGAGTAGGGGGAACACTCCCGAGTGAGTTTTCGTACCTCTCGAGCATGCCATGCTGCCAAGCTTCTGAACGCCTGGACCGCCCAGCAACTCAGAAAATACCCCCACGCCTCGTCAAAGGACGCGCCTCCTAAACCTGAGCGTGAGATCCAGGGTTGCTCAGACCGGAAAACTTCCAATAGGGGACACCTGTGTGCAACGTCAGCTTCTTGTGACTTCAAGTCAACGAGGGTTCCACACGAACAAACTAAACACTTTCGGGGCCTGAGGGGCCAAATATCTCTAGTGTCAAACCTGCTCTCCCCTCACCAGCTGTGTCCCCTGACACGGGGTCCGTCAAAGCGCTCAGAATCATTCCTGGATCATTGAAACCACTCGCTGCAGGGTAGGAATGTCACTTTGTGTACGTGTCAAACCTTAAGAACGGCGGTTTTCCTTTTGGGTTCTCTTTCAACCAGGGTAAAAAGAGTACCGTCAACGAACCCCCCCTTTTAACGGGCACCCTGAGCATGCCACGCACTTCGCGTACTGCTCGATCTGCGCCCTGCAGGCTTCGCAGACTTCAAAGGAGCCCAAACAGCCATTCGCCGCAACCCGTAGCCAAAACGTCCCCCCCAACACCCCCCCTCCCCCCAAAAGCAAAGTGGGTTGCCAACTTTACGTGTGCTCTCAACATCTCAACACGGAAACTGACCAAAGTCGATTCCCAGACTGCCCTGTAGTTCCATGAGTTGCGTCATGATTCAAACACACGCTTGCCAAAATCACCAACATTGTCCCATACATAATGTACTGAGGCTTCAATCTTGGTTGACCACCTGTGGCTCTTTCTCTTGCGCCGGTTCCCTGGAAATTCTCATTCAAGCTGGAAACGCCCGGTTTTGGAACCCTTGCTTGGTAGTAGGTGCTCCAAACCACAGGCATGCCGTTGCTTCGCCGGGGTCTGGCCTTGGAGGTATCTTGCTTGGCCAGCGCAGCAAGGGCATCCTCCGGAGCACTCACACACTTGCAAGCACACGTCGCCCTGCGCGCAAAAACATATATCATTCACATTTCGCTGCCTCATATTTGGCCACCAAAACATCTATATATGCTCATCCTACCCCACATGCATCCTCAGTGCGTAAAAAGCATCAGGAAACTCCTGTTCCACCACTGTTCCACTTATCTCTCTTAGGCTTGCAACTCATGCATGATTGAGTCGTAGGTTGCATCTCCTGCTTGCCTAGCTTGCAAGAGCGGCCTTGGCTGTTCAGGCAATCAACTTCGACTTGCCTTTGGCCCACCCACACAGTCAAGAACCCCAAGCAACTCCGGATAGTTTTATGTGCCGCTTTTCCTCATCAAACTCGAGGAAGCGGACAAGCAAAAAACCAAACAATTTTACCAGCACAATTCAAACAACACAAACCCACAACATATGCAATCCTGTACGTAATCAAACAGTCACGTGTCGCCCGAAACAGTATTTCTGCCATATGCCAACAGCATCCTTACTATGATGCAATCATGGTCCTCCTTGGCCTTGAGGAACTCCTTGTGTCTTTCCAAGTCTTCACCTACAAGGTCCTCGGTCACAACTCATGCCGTTCAAACTTGCCATCATGAATATGAGCCCCGTGCCCGAAGGGGAACACGGCGTGTCCGATACATGTATATGTATATGTGCGCATACACGTATGTATATATATATATATATATGTAATACATATACATATATACATATGCACATGTATGCATATTAGCACACATATACATATGTAGAAATACTATATATTGAATTTAGACATAACTTTGCAACCAATAACAACTCTGCAAGAGCCACAAGCTTTCTCAAGGCGTCTCAAGCCCAGGGACAAGGGAATCGCTCGGGCTCGGACGTCGTCACCGGCAATCTTGCTCAGCAAGGCTTCCCGCCAGGCCTTCGGCAGACAACCGCAGCAGAAAAAGCAACACGGAAGGCTTTCTCAGTTGTTCAGTGACCCTGGAAAAAAAAGGGAACCCTTTTTTGGGAAGACCATTTTAGTGGGGCAGCCACCCAACAAAAAGTGAAAAAGGGAGCCACTGAACAACTGAGTTTTAGAAGAGTGGACACAGGTTTCCCAGGGGACTCAGGGGTTACTGGTTTCCCTGGACATGTTTCCGAGACATTGCATGCCGTCATTGAATCCGGTCGAGAAGGGACCGCGTTCTTGTCAATCACTCATCCGTGAGATAAACACATGAACAAACTCCTCGCATTTTGAAAACACACACACACAAACAAAAACACAGACCTCATCTTGGCACTAACTTGAATCAATCATTGAGTGAGCATTCCTGAAACCACTGCGCGAACACTTAGCACACGCTGGCTGAAGATCATTTCTGCGCTAACTTTGGCTGGATTCTTGCAGCCGAAAATGGGTCTCTGGACCAATCCAGTTGTCTATCCTTGGATGTTGGTCTTCCAAAGGCTCGGAGCCTTTCCCCGTTCAAGGAAACTTCTCGGCATTCGCTCAGGAGAAGTTGTAATGCTTGTTGATCGGCTTCTTCACGTCCCAAATGCAGGTCATCCCATCCGGAAAGGTGGCCAAATCTCCAGCCGCGATGTCCACGCCCTGAGCCGTCAATATTTCTATGTCCCGATACGGACTTTCGGTCCATTTTCCAAGGGATATTAGGGGCTCGCGTGACCCATGCCATCCCCTTGCCCAGCGGACATGGAAACAACAGGTTGACCTTTTGGAACCAGGAAAACCCAGAAATCAGATCAGAACAGGTTGACCCTTTGGAACGTTGACTGAAGAATCAGGGAAACGCAAAGGTCGAAACTCGGTTGCTTTCTGCTCCCCTGCTAAAAGTTCACCTTTTAGTTGCTTAGTGGAAAACCCATTAGTTGGCAAAAAGTTAAAGTCCTAACATCCCTTGGCAAAAAATCAACAAAGCAAACATGGTCGCTTTGGTTGGGCTCACACAACAGAGCAATCGCGCTTGCAAAGAACGAAGGGGTATGTCAATGATCTACTGGGGCTTTCTTTGGCTCCTGTATTTTACAATGATCAAACTCACCCCCAAAGTGGTAGATACAAGGAGGTCAATAAAACGATTTCTCGCCTCCAGCTCCGCCCAGTCCCCGGTGGGCGTCACCGTGACCTCGCCTTCCAGGATGTACGCGGTCTCCGTGCCGCTGTACTCCCAGTCGAACTTGGACACGCCACAGCCCCAGGTCGGCCAGGAGGAGACTCCCAGCTGTTGGTCTGCCGCCTCCTGGGGGAGAAACAAAAACAGAAAATGGAGGTTCAACTTTGCTCTTGCCTCTAGTTTAGTGTCTCCCAAAAATTGAAAAGTGGTTCTTTAGCTCAAGTCCTTGGACATTTTCTCCACTTTGATGGCGGGCTTGAATCTCCTCGTGACTTTGGACTGCCGTGCTTGCGACAGGCTTGAGGAGACAAAGGCCGCTGGCAAGTACAAAAGCAGCCCCAGCAAAGCCAGGCCGGTCACTCGCCGTGCCATTGGAAATCAATCCGGGCGCGCCCCAAGGATTGGCTGAAAATCGCTGGCGGAAATGTAGGACCCAGCTTGGTTGCTCTTGACCCCCCTGCAAAAAGTTTAACTTTTTGGGGGTTTAGTGTAAATCCCCAGGCGACCTCGCCTACCGAGAGCTCCTCCGCGACCTTTTCCCCGTGGCGCCACGCCCTCTAAGGTCTTTCCCCTAAACCTGAGCCCCTGGGCAAACGGATTCACATCGGCTGCAATCTGCTGACGAACATCTCCAAGCGAAGGCACACGATTGACACTCCCAAAAAATGAGTGTTCGCTTGAACCCGATCTTGCATCTACGCATCCTCAGAGGATGGCTCCCCATTGGCTTTAAGCCAAGCAAGTCTGGCCTTCGCATTGGCTCGAGTTTTCAGCATCTCACCTTCATCCTGAAGGGCATACCGGCCGAGCTGCAAGCATGTGCGGATCGCGGTGGGATCCATTGCTTTGGTCAGAGCATCTGCAATCTGTGCCCCACTCGGCACCCATCTCAGAGTTATCCCCGACTTCAACTGTTCCTTAATCAAACGGGCCTGAAGAAGTACTCTAAACTCTTGGCAATTGGGTGGTGCAGTGCGGCTCACCAAATCATAGAGGCTTTTGCAGTCCGTGGCAGTGGTGGTTCCTGTCAGGCCCTGTGCTGAGACCGGGATGGGAGGTACCTCTTCTTCAGAGTAAGTGACACTTGCAATTGCTGGAGGAAGCTTCAGAAGGGTCTGATCTCCGAGTTTCCAGGCATCGGACGGTGATATCATCCACGACCAAAACAGTCTAATCCACGACACGTTGTCAAGGGCTTGGGCTAAAGCCATGGTTTCTGCTGCCAACGTGGAGGTTACAACCTTTTGGATTTTCTTCGAATGCCATGAAATGGGATTAACGGGACTCCTCTGGTTCACTTCCAATTGAGTGTTGGTTGCAAATATGAACATCCCTTGATATGCGTCCGTGGTCTTGGCTGACATGAAAGAGGCATCTGAGAATGTCAAGAACCTCACGTCCTGAAAAGGAATGGGCTGAATCTGAATGCTTACCTGCGAATTGGCTTTGGCTTCATGAAGCAAACGGTTGCCATCAATTAAATCCTGTACCTGGGCCTGATTTACCCTCCCTTGCATAAGTCCCAACCGGTGTGACAAGTCTGGGCGGGTGTTGACGGCAGCATACTGAAGGCTACCAATCAAGGCACGGAACTGCTGGCGTTCAGATTCCGACACGGATTCCTCGGGATTGTTCCGTCTGGAACGGGCAAGGACAATTGGATCGATGTCCTTCACATACTCTTCCTGCTGAAGCACAATCTTCCCTGACCTCTCTTGGCGAATTTGAATCCCAGTGAATTTGAACACTTCACTCTTTTTGGCACCAAAAGGGAATATCTTTTCCAGTTGCTGGATGGCATCATCAAACACAGCATCTCCACCACAAAGGCCGTCATCTACATGCACACCTATGGCTCCATGGACAGTGTTGGTTCTGGGATCAACATGAAGAAACAAACAAGGGTCAAATGGGCTCACTTGAAAGTTCAGTCCCAGAAGAGTCTTTCTGAATTCTTCATACCACAGATATGGTGCGTCCACTCTACCATAAGCTCCCTTCAAGAGTTGACAAATTTCGGATGGCTGTAGTTTCATCTGCTCTCGCATTTCACTGGGCGGTTCCATACCGAGCAATCGTTGATCCTTGGCGCTGCCTCTCAGAAAGGCAGTTTTCACATCGAAGGATGAGAGTTTCCACCCTCGGCTGGCAATCATCTGCAACAGCAACATTCTGCCAAGTCTGCTGAGAGTTGGGCTGTCTCTTGGAATGTTTTCAATCTCAGGGTCCTCATATCCTAACACAACCAAACGGGCCTTAGCTTTCTTTGATGGTTTCTGAGGTACCTTGGTATTGTCAGCATCAACATCCTTCCAAGTGAGAATCCATCGACATCTCAGGATATTCTCTTCAGGCAATTGATGTCGCAGGATCTTGGTCACGGTTCCGGTGTCCAGCCATGATGCAACTTCCTGGTGTTTCGCTGCTTGAAACAGTTTCTGCTCCTCAGGCTGAAGACCCGCCAGTTTAACTTCGGACTTTTGGCGCTTGGCTGCGGAAACCACTAAACCAAGGTGTTCCTCCTCCCCATGATGTGCCCATCGATCCAGATCTGCGGCTGTGAGAAAGACTTCACATTTCCATGCTTCTGTGCTCTGAAACAGACTGGCGTCATCCTCCGGCACAGGAACCTCTACCCCATCTGGTACCCTGGTTTCCCCTATCTCTGGAATGCCTGATGTTTCAGTCTGCGAGGGTGCCCTAGACACTGAGGGTTCAACATCGGGTTGCTCTATTTCGGGATTTCGTTCTGGGTGCTCACTGGTCGGCGCACTCTGATCCGGCCGGGAATGGGATCCTGATGGGATTTCTGGTGGAGCCCCAGTTGCTGGTGCCCGAGTTCGAGGTATGGTCAAAGTGTCAGGCACACGCGTCCAATCCTGCAATTGCACGACTCCGGGTGGAATGATCTGCTGAGTTGGACCTTGATGTTCAACCTTGCTAAACTCAACTGCGGATGTGGGACGCACATGTTCAGGTGGTGCACGGAACAGCTTTCCCGACATCGTGACCCAGGTGACTTCTTGGCCTTCTTGTTGAACAACCTTCATGGGACCTATCCAGGCCCCATCACCGACTTTCTTAGTTTTCCATACCATGACCCAATCCCCTGGCTTGAAGTCACTTCGGAAGGGTCGTGGGCGACTCACAAGTGCTCTCCGGATGGCTTGATCATTATCAAGTTGGACAAAGGCGCGGCGTGCCGCCTCACGGCGTTGCAACTCTCTTCGGAATCGCACTCCTTCCGGAGTTTGGGACTCTGCCAATGCATGCGCGGGAATTTCAACATCTGATGTGACGGATGCGGCTACCCGAGACAGCTTCCCAAACACAAGCACTTCGGGCGGAAAACCTCTTACCCTGGTCCACTGGTTCTTTACCATGCAAGCCTGGGCTAACGCACACTGAAATTCATGGAAATCAGGGATGCCAACATCACGGTCCATCCGGTTGAGGATTTCCTGCAAAATGCCTCCATGTCTTTCTGCCTTGGCGTTTTGCCAATGTCCTTCTGCCGCAATGGTGGTTCCTCTGATGTTGAATCTTTGAAGGAAACTGGCAAACATGTCTGAATTCAATTCCCCTGCGGAATCAACATGGAGGTGGTATGGCGCTCCAGCCCACTGAATCCACCCTTGCAGCACGGCGTTGATGGCACCTTCCGAATTTTCATGCTGCACGGCAACGGCTGTTTGATAACTGGTGGCGTAATCTACAAAGTGGTAACAGTTGAATTCTTGGCCTGCTTGGTTCTTCCAACTGATTCCATCCATGGCTACAATGTCACCAAAATCTAAAT